ACATTGTCTTGGGTCCTGGAATTTACCTGAACCCATTTTTAGAGTGTTTTGAAAGACAAGAGCCTACTGAAATCTGTTGGCCTCTAGACTGAGCTGAATTTCCTCCTTATGGAGGTCTCTCCTTTGATACCTACACAAAACAAGTTGCAGATGTTAGGATATTCAGGGCCATAAGTGATGCAATTGAGACCTCGGTGACTAATCGGTGGCTCTCTGTCCTTACATTTGTCACCCTTTCCTTCAAACTCCAGCTCCTGCAGCATTCGAATTCTCACTCGAGAAAGGTTCAGGCTCCCTGAGAAGCAGGCTCTCTCAGCAGGAATATCACAGGCACATTCCTTGACATTAGCGCCCCTCCGCCTTTGGTTCCAGCCTTTTACAAAGCAGACAACGTAACGCTTAGACTTGGACATCTTGTGGTTAGGCTTAAAGCATGGTGATTGTCTTGAACAGTAATATAAATGATTAACTTATGACTCTCCATGAGTCAACCCATTCAACTCTTAAAGCAATGTAATTAATGATACCCTTCTTATTGCTGGAGGGAAGAAGAACCAAGCTCCTGGTGGCTTACTTATCAGGAGACAGGTAGCTCAGGATGCCTTAGGCTAGTGACAACACAGATCATTAGGAAGAATTTGAAGGACACTGGATAAATAGAGGTGAATTCAACGGGTATAGATTCCTCAGATGATTGAGCATTTAAAGAGTCATCTTATCTCCCATGTCTAGTACTTAAACAGTGAGAAGATGCCCACTCAATCAGCCAGGAAAATATTATTTATTCCTTCCTGGATCTTTTTGCCCCTTTTGACCAGTTGGATACCATCTAATCAATATCAAACTCATTTTTATACAGTTTGTTAGAGTTAAAAATCTCTGCCCTATACAGAGAAAGGAGATTGCCAATACGCTTCTCTCTCAGTTTGGGGGTCTCTGAACTCAAGGTGAACGCTTGTGGCTCAGGAGCTCACCACTTCACAAGGAAACCACTGCACTTCAACTGCTGGAAAATTCTTTCTTATTTGGACACCAAATCTCCTTCTCTGTCACTTCTACTCTTTTGTCCCAGTTTAGTCTTCTAATCAATATAAGTCTCTTCTCTCTTTCAAGTATTTAAAAGCAGACATGACGCCTCCCCAGCATCTCTTTTCAAATGTTTCAACTGCCATCCCTTTATTACTTCTTTTTGAGTCAGTTCTATGGTATGTTAAGCATTAATATAAGGAAAATAAAGGGCAGTCCTTTTTAATTAAATATAGAGTTAACTCACCAACTTAGACTCACACACTATTCCTCGGGAAGATCACAGAGGAATAACATGGCTATTGGAAAAGGACATCTAAGCTCTTTAAAGCTAAGGAAGATGAAAGGAATATTTCCAGCAGGGTAGGGGCTAGAGATGGCACAAGCTTAAAAGCACATGGGGTAACTGAGGCTGAATTTAGACAACACTGGAGAATAAAACGATTGGGAAAAAAAGGATAATTATGTCTTGCAATGATTACTCTGGCTCTGAAGCAAAATTAGCATAGTCCTTTCTAATTTAAATGTGTTGAAAGTGGCTGAGCATGACAGCAGAAAATTACAAGGTTTACAACACGGGCTTTGGTTAAAGTGATGGCAATCGGATTATTGTAGCTTTTTTCGGTTGATAGCAATGATTGTAAAGTTACCTATAAATACTGTTTAATGCTAGATGAGGTTTACTTTGCTGACAAGTACAGAGTCATTCCGTACTTTAGGGAGGCTGTGTGCATTTTGTTTTTACTTAGTTTAATTTTGGCTAGTTTTAAATTATCACTCATAGGTTCAATTACATTTTAGTGCCAGACAATTGTTCATTTCTTCCCTCCCTCCTTCTCTCCCTCTCTTCCTTCCTTCATTCTCCTTCTTTCCTCCCTTCCTTCCCTCTTTCCTTTTTTTCTTCTTTCCAAGAGGAAAGTGAGGAATTCTTAGAGATGGGGTTTGAGAAAAGGACTTCTTTCAACTTTACCCACTTTCCCATAGTAGGAATCTTATTCCAGTGTCTCAATTCCCAATTCAACTACAGCTTCATTTCCAATCAAACGTTCACTGAGCTGCATCACCATCTTTATTTCACTCTCCAGCATCATTGTCTTAACGGTTGTGTCTGTAACAATGAGCCTTTTCATTACTTGGTGCTTTCTTGTGTTTCTTCGTATTATTCTACTTTTCTGTAGGAGAATTCATCGGGCCGATACCTGGTTCATTACCCACTTCCGCCATCTAGTCACAAAAGTAAAACACACCTTTATTTAATAAACTTTACCTTATGATGTAAGGAAAAATGACCATTTTCTGTGTAGGCAAAGTCAAAAAGTAGGCTCACATTACAAAAAAAAAAACATTAATCAACAGTTAATGGTTAGGTGGGCTGCGTAAGCAACTTAATTAATAAAGATTTAACCCAGGGCTTCTTAACCTTGGCACCATTAATATTTTGGTCTGGATAATTTTTTGTTGCAGGGCTGCGTCCTGTGCACCATAAGACAATAGCAGCATGTCTGGCCTCTACCCACTAGATGCCAGTACAAGCCCCCCCTCCCCCAGCTGTGACCACCAAAGTGTCTCCAGATGTTGTCAGATATCCTGGGGGGAGGGGGAGAAAACCACCCTCAGTGGAGAACCACTGATTTAAGCCAATCAAAAAGAGTCTTCAATTGTGGGGTAAAAAATAACACACTAGTCTTAATGGGATTAGTTTGTCTGCTACATATGTCCAATTACCGGCAACAGAAATTTATAATGGTCTGAATCACTTAGAAAAAGTATGTTGAGCTACTAGTATCAGAGACAGGAAATGGCAGTAGTTTAAATAAGATAGAAGTTTATTTTTCTGTTGTGCTAAAGGAGTCTGGAAGGAGCCCCTTCATTGCTGGTCAGGGAGTTCCATGGTACTATCAGGGGCCTTTTTGCTTTATCATCCCCAAAGCTTGGCTTTCATAATACAGCTCCCAGATACTGGTAGAGCGCCAGCTGGTTGCTCCAGTCCAAAACTGAAAGCAGGAGCAGGAACTCATAGGGCAAAAAGAACCAAAGAAGGCCCACAACTACCTGGAAGATGGAAGGAAGGTTAAGACATATTTTTCAGCTGAACTATTGTCTAATATTTTGATAGCAAGAAAAAAAGGAGAATGTATATTGGGTTAATAACTAACAGGGTCTCCTATTCATTTATACTTTTTTGTATTTAGGCAAATGCTTCTTAAATATTTTCTATGTGCTAGATACTGCTAGGCACTGGAGATAACAAAGAATAAACTTTGCTATCTGGGAGCATATAATCTATAGAAATAGGAAAATATTACATGATTCATTAAGTAATTAATCAATAAACTGCAACTGTTATAAATGCTACAGAAACATAGAAGATACTCTAAGACTTTTAGAGGCAAAATAGGTTTTCGTGTTTCTTCAGTACCTGTACATAGTTTGGCATATAGTATGTGCTCAGTGAGTACTGGGGATAGATCTGGGGACTGTCTGATCTGGGGCTCATCAGGCTGAGGCAAACATTTATGTAAATTGTCCTCATATAAATTTCTGAAATCAAAATAATAGCATAGCTATACAAGTCAAAGTCAGTCCATTTCCACTTTATTTTAGTTTCACAGATTGTTTTCTAAGCCCAGGTTGCAAAACATACCATCTTAGGTAAAGTCCTGCAGAAATTCTATCCCCATATTAAGTGAATTCATCTCCATTGATGTTTGCACCACAAAGGTCAACTGCTCAAAGATTTTATTTATTAAGTTATCTCCCCAGTAAGTTAATATGAATTTTTCTCGACAACTTTACAACTTGGGCGTCTCAAAAAACAAACCCGAACTCAATTGTTCCTCTAGAATCTTATTTTTATAAGAATTTTTTCTATTTATCTCCTACTTCTTATGTAAACAAGCTCTTGTAGTGGGTATACAATTTAAAATTGTTTTAGAGGAATCTAGAAATCAATGCATTTGGGGGATAAAAAAATTCATTTCAACCATATTAACCTTAAATATTATTCTGATGTATGTAGCACTGAAACTTACCCACACACATATACAAACACATCCAGAGACACATAAATAAGAGACTGTCAAAAATAGCCCCATTATTATCCAGTACCATCCAGTCAGTTCAAAAAACAATAACAATTGAAATATGTCTGTACCAGAAGACACCTTCCTTTTATTGCCTTAAAGGATATTTCTCTGTGGCTTTATTTTGCTACAAGACAGCAATGGGCAAACTCAGGAATTTTCTATTTCTTTTGTGAACCTAAACTAGCCCGCTCTCTTATAGGGATTATATAAGTAAACCAATATTCTGAGATTTTGTTTTTCTACTGCGACCCAAAGGTTGTTAAAAGAAAAGTCTCAAAGACTGTAAGTTTCCCAGCATCATAGCCATTATCTGGTTTAATCTCTAGATGTCAAATTGGCAACAAAGCTCGTCTCTCCCCAAAAATCCAAAACAGTCAAATGTATTTTAGCTCCAAAACACAATGTAATTTAACAGACCAGTATATCTCCTACTATTTAGAACTAGAAATGAATTTGTCTTATGGACATTAAAATTTATTCACATTTGATCATTCTTGAGAATCAAAAACCTGAAACTATTTAGAAAATTACATGTACAGTTCATCAAAATACATATGGACTTGTAATTAGCCAGTGTGGCAATTGGAAGCACAATTGTTATTAACAAAATGAGAAATAATTGGCTGAAGTTTGGTATGAAAGTTATGTGTAATCCTGAATGGATAAAGCATTGATATAAATATTCACATCCACTGAATTTAATGTTTCTACCTGTACTACTTAGATAATTAAGGCAAAATCTGGTGGAATGTTTTATTGATGTTATTAGCTGAATGATCTCCAGGCATTATGGAGTCTGTACTGTTAGTGCTAAGCTGGAAAAGGGCAATTAGTTAGTATTTAACAGGTAATTTTTGTACTTATCTGAACTCTTTCTGCATTTCCTAGGGCTTGCCCTTTAAACTGAAGACCCATGGAGGTCAAACTTCAGGTCGAAATCCAGAGTGGAGGTGAAGAGAGAAGGCCAATTCGTGGGCGCCAGGTAAGAGTGGATCATATTAGCCAGAATGGTCACTTTTGAAGAAATACATTATTTGGACTTTGAATATGTTGGCCTAAGAAGAGATTTAAGATTTATGAGCTGATTTTTTAAAAGAAGTGTCATATCCTTCTTTGAATTCTTGAGATAGAGTTTCAACCCTCCATTTTTCTTTCAACAACACTAATAAGCTATTTCGTTATAACTGCAATTGAATATTTAAGTATTTTGAAATAATGAAAAGTGTAGATATTTGACATAATTTGAGTTAATTTTTCAAGATATTGACCTAAGTTTTGTTTAATACACTTTTTATTTTAAAACAGTTTTAGATTTACAAAATTACAGATTTACGGAAACTCAGTTTCCCCTATTAATTAACATCTTACATTAGTATGGTACATTTGTCACAATTTGTGAAGAATATTGATATATGCATTATTAACTAAAATCTATACTTTATTCAGATTTTCCCATTTTTCTCCTAATATCCTTATTCTGTTCTAGGATCCTATGCAGGACACAACATTACATTTAGCTGTTGTGGCTACATAGGCTCCTTTTACTTGTGACAATTTCTCAGACTTCCCTTGCTTGTGATGACCTTGGACATTTTGGGGAGTATTAGTCAAGTATTTTGTAGAATTTTCTTCAACTGGGATTGTCTGATTTTTTTTCCTCATGATTAGACATGGGTTATGTGTTTTAGGTAAGAAGGACACAGCAGTAAAGTGCCATTCTCATCATATCATATCAAGGGTACAAATTATCCATATGACCTTATCACTGTTGTTAACCTTGACCACTTGGCTGAGGTAGTGTTTGTCAGCCTTCTCCACTGTGAAGTCACTCATTTGCCCTGCTTTCCATACTATGCTTGTGGAAGGAAGTCACCACGTAACAGCCCACACTTAAGGATGACGAGTTATGCTTCTCCTCTTGAGGGCAAAGCATCTACATAAGTTATTTGGAATTCTTGTGTGTGCGAGATTTGTCTATTCTCCCTCTTTTATTTATTCAAAATGTATTTATATCAATATGGGCTCATGGATATTCATTTTCTACTTTGAGCTATAATCCAGTATGACTTCACTGACACTCTTTCGGGTGACGCTCATGTCCCTTTGATGTACTCCCACCAAATGGGGTTGTTTTTTGAGTACTTCCTTTCTAGCCCTACAGGCTCAGCTTGTATCTGTGCTAGTCCTCAAATCAACCATTTCTCTAAGGAGCCCTCGTTCCTCGTACTGGAGAATGGTATTAAAAACCAAGTGCTGGTGCTACGTCCTAGGGTTTTAGAAATACTGCTTTGTATATTACTGTAGAATAAATGCTTAATGCAGCTTAACCAAAGCAGATATTCTTAAAAGGAATGAATCATTGTTAATATTGCCTTCCGCATTTTATTCAGTATTTATTTAAAGCAACTATATTATGTAAAATTGTAGTAAATTTTCCAGATAAGAGACTCCGTTTTACCTATCCTTTTTGTCTTATTGTTAAAAATATCTTCACTTTCATAAAGACAATGGGAGGAGTTGGGGCAGGGGTGAATAAAACACCATGGTGTGGAAGTGGCATAATGAAAACAGGTTTGTGTTAGCAGCGAGGCAAGGGTTTCCTCGCAATGTCCTTATTCAGCTTTTATAACAAATTCTTCATAAGATGAGTGCTCTAGTGTCTCACATTGATTGCATTCTGAAATGGGAAAATACATTTTAAGATGCATGTAGAAGCGGCACCCATATTTCTTTCTAAGAATACACACATATTCGTATATGAATATATTATATAATATAGTCAGCAAATTTTGATGTGCCTCCTATGGATAATTTACAGATTGTGTGTGTGTGTGTGTGTGTGCGCAATGCACATATGCACATACATACACAATTGAAAGAATCAGAAGTCCGTGATCTTTGTTTTTCTTACTGTTCATTTTGTCACTGATTTTTATGCATATGCTCATTTACGTTGCTTAGGGGGAGAAAAAGCTGTACATAAAAACAGATTATCTTTTAGAGCACTCCAGGGTTAGTTTCATTTTCCCCTCTTCTTTTTATGAAGAAAATGATAGGAAACATAAACCAGCGCCCTTAAAGAAGAAAATGCATGAAATGAAACAAGTAGGCTTTCAAAAATACGCAAAACACGACAGGCAGACCTCCAGCTTAGCGGGAGGGCTGGAGGTGAAATATGCACCGCGTACACGCGTCCAGTATATCTTCGGCACTTAAAAAAAGATAAAAGTGGTCTTGAAAGTGAATGAAGTTGACTCTCAAAAAGTGCATTTTAGATGTTGAATATTTAATTCACTGATAAAAGGGACCTGATTTCCTGCACACGGCTGCCATAAATAAAAAAAAGCACATCTTAAAAGAGAAGCAATGAGCAGAAACTGACCTTTCTGTGAGCAAGCAGATGAGAGAAGGTATTTGGCTAATCCCAGCTGTCTCTGATTGGCCAGACAGCACCGTGTTGAAAATGTCTCCATCTGGGCTAATCTGCTCTCAGTTGGATGAGCTGAGGCCTTCAGAGTTAACCTGACATTTAACAATAATTACCCTTTCGAATGACCCCGGCCCAATCGCCTGCTCTCTTAGAAATCTCTTTTTTTGTGCGTGCTCCCAAACCCCTTGACTTTTGTGTTAGAGATAGGGGAAAAAAAAAAAAAAAGATGAGATGATATAGCTTGTGTGTGTAAACACACAGAAGTGTGGTGGTGTGTATTTATATATCTGCACATTATATATAAATACTTATATAATATCATGCATGATAACTGGGGATCTCCAATTGGTTATGGAGCCTGATTTACTGGTTCCATTTTACTTTCCTGAATTCTGAAATTTATCAACGCCTTGTGGTATTAAAAAAACAGAGGAATAATATCACCAATTAAAGTGGGAGAGAATTTGTTTGCTGGCTATTTTATGAAAGTCAAAGTTCCAGTCTGAGCTTGCTTGAGCACTTGAGTGTCCCTTATCAGACACCAGGAGAAATGGTGCATGAAAAGAGGTTCAGATAGAAAAACCAAGTTCAGGGGTCACGGAGGCTAACTGTAGATGAAATGTGGCCATTTCTTTTTACCTGAGGCTGGCTTCATCTTTCTTTAGAAAGGTCATTGTGATAAAACAAAACACATCTTGGAAAGAAAATCCATTCTGGGGTTTTATTTGCTTAAAAAAAATAATGAAAAGCCTTTCCCAGTTTAGACCTGCATTTTTCCAGAGCTTTCCTATCAGAGGCTCTCGTAAGACAAGGCATTTCTAACACTAATATTTAGTAAGGAACTTCCATAACGCTGAAGGTTTGAATTAGATAGCCACCCAGAAGTTCAAGTACGTGTCTTAACCGTGTCCAAAATATCAGGCCTGGTTAGCTTGACCAAAATGGTCTGGAACTCCCACAAGTACAATTTCTTTTAAACTTGGTGTTATTTGCTTTTTTTGTCCGCTTGAAAAATACCAAGAGAACATTTTCTAAAAATATTTCTCCCTACCTCCTCTATAACTAATACAAAAAAGCTAATATGGAAATACACAGAGGCGTAATATACTCAGGTAAGAAGTTTGGTCAATGGCCCTGCTCCTCCAGCGTATTTTGTTTTGAGCTGACCCTTCAGGCCCACGTGAGGAGAACGGGGAGAGCAAGTACACAGCCTGTTCTAGTGCACACTTGCCAGGTCCATACAGCCACCCGCCAAGGGTCTCCAGCCCACTTGTCTTTAATCTGGGGAGTTCTTTCCTTGAAATAATCCCCAGAAGCTTCTATTACTCTACCTACCAGCTTTCTCGGTTTTAATTGACTAGCCAAATATTTCTCTTTCCTAGCCCAAAACTTAACTGTGGTCACTACCAGCCAACTTGGTAGGGCTGTTGCCATGACCTGAGCTGCGTTAGGAACACTGCCAACTGGACAGAGGCTTATGGCAGGATTCTGAAGGGTAGCGGAATGTGTCACCCCCAAACATTCTGCTTCGGTTATTGATCATTTTGAGCTGTAGGCACCGGAAAAACAGCAAATGCAGGGAGAGGCTTTCTCTGAACTCCCCTCATCTGCCTAAAGATAAATCCTCCAAAAGGAACTCCATTGTCATGAAGCCCCTCCTGGGCAGTTTCATCAATTAGGGAGGATTGACCCTTACCACAGGAGAGGAGACTAGAAGTCTACGTTACACTCCAAGTTTGTCGCAAACTATCATACTCTCACCTAGTCGTCTATGGGTCCATTTATCCTTCCTAAATATCATTTACTCTCTCCTAAGAGGCCTATATCTCCCTTTCTCTACACGATGGTATACAATCCTGAATTCCAAAGCCACTTCTTTGAGTTACTCATTTTTCCGGGTTATGTTCATTGTTTACATGAGGTATACGTGCTACTGAACTTCTGTTCACTTTTCTCTTATAAATCAGTCTTTTATTGCTGGGACCTCAGTTAAGAACTCAGAAGGGTAGAGGGAAAATTATTTTTTCTCCCCCACGATTCCATTCTTAACCGTAATTAGACTCTGTAGCATTAGAGTTAAGATTGAAAGACTTTTCCTCCACATGTAGTTCTTTGTCTCTCTTCAATAATAATAATAATAATAATAAAATAATAATAAGCGCTACTTCACTTTTTTTCACCATCGGCCCCCATAAACATTGCAAATTCTCAATAAAGTGGCCATTATCTGTTTGGAACTATGTATTAACCAATCACTCTTCTTGTAACAAGAATGCTTTTGCATAAAACGATGCCTAAGAATATCTCTTTGACATGCTCAGAACCTTCATTATCTCAAAGTTTAACTCGAAAATAAATCGCTGCGGTTGAGTATGAGATGCTGGCAGACTTCACTGGCTATATTGTAACAGTTGGATGATTTCCAAAATGAAAAAGATATTGGCTGAGTTTGCTTTGCCATGCAAGTCCTCAAATTCCCCACTTCCTTAATAATAACAAAAATGGACATATGGTTACTGTCTTTGCAACAAAGTCTTTCTTCTTTTAAAAACAATATTTAAAATATTTTGTCCTTTATAAAATTAATTATGCTCGTTGGAGAAAGTTTGGAAAAAATTAAACAGTTGAGGGAAGAATAAAAGTCATTTAATTACCCGCATTCCTTTTTCTACTCCGAAAAATGGGAATGATAGTAATAGATAAATCCTATAACTGCGTTGCGAATTCACTAAAAGCCAAACCAGATCTTCTGTATAGATCATCTCATTTACTTCCCCAAACAATCCTGTTCAGTAAGTATTATTGTTTTTGATGTTTAGATTTAAACAAAAAACACATTTAGAGAAGTTACGGAATTTGTTTATGGCAGTTTCCAATTCTCAGCCCTATTGACATTTTGAGCTAAATAATCCTTTGTTGTGGGGGTGGCCCTGTGCCTTGAAGGGTGGTTAGCAGCATCTCCATGCCACTAGGTGCTGGAGCACTCCCTCCCCGGTTGTAACAACCAAAAATTTCTCTAGGTATCACCAAATGTCGCTTGTGCAGCAAAATCATCCAGAGTGAAGAACCACTGATTCAAGGTCATTCTCTTAGTCAGTGATAGAGGCAAAACCAAAACCACTTCTCTCTCTCTTCATAGTTGTAATCTTATTCCAAATACATTTTATTTTTCTCGTTTAACACGTGTTGTAATGGATGTTATCATTTCTTTTTACTCAGCGTTCCTTTTTTTGGATAATACAAACAAGACTGAACAATTATCTTTATGCATAATCTTCTTTTCTTCTAGCTTTATCATTTTCCTTATGCTATGTTTCCCAAGCCGAAATTTCTGAGTCATAGTACATGAATTGTTTACGACTTCCAGTTTTCTTCTTTTCTCCTTGTCTGTCCTACTTGGAGTATATCTTCTGACTTCTTACACCTCTTTCTATATTTTCCCCTATTGTTAAGTCTGATATCTACAAGACTGTTGCCTTGCAGAGATTGAAGAGAATGATGGGATAGGGCCAACAATTCTAATTCTGCTCTTTTCATTGACTCACTCAGTCCTTGCATTGAAATTGTAGTCATCAGTTGTGGTGACCAGTTGTTTCCTTTGCAAGTTTTTCTATATTGTTTTAGAACCACCATATGGCCTGATAGCACTATTGAACTTGTTTCGCTTCAGTTGACTACCTTTCCCAAACTGTACTGGAGTTTCCAAAAAGAGATCTCTTCACACCACTGCATTTTCCACTTTCACAGTCAATTAGTAATGGCTGCCAACGTTGGGCAGGGCAGAAGAATTGGAGCACTGCCCTTGAGAAAATGCCATGATGAGAGATTGCCATAGAAGCATACGTCATCAAAGGTAATAAGATAAGGGAGGCATTCTTATGGAAGCAAAAGCAAACGCTCAAAGGTTTGAAAATTGCTTAGACATACATATCTTTACCACGGACTTTAGCAACTGGGCTAATGAGAATGAAATAAACAATAAAACCTGAAAACATTTGAGATTAGGAAATTAATTCAGCAGAGGCCATGAAGTCAGCATTCATAAGCAATTCCACCCTTGCCATACATTTCAAACAAGATCTCTTAATCATTCATCACATATCATCTATGAGGTTCATTGACAGGTCAGAAGTGTGGCCTTTCTTGCAGAGTATTTTAGGGTCTTACTTCACTCTTGGGGGCTACTCAGAGAACCCCAATAGGCCAATAAACAATTATTTCTTTACAATACTCAGCCACAATCTATACAGCATAAACATGTGCATTAGTCACTCAACTCTACTGTGCTATTTTCTCTGTGGCGTAATAAAAGTAGTTAATTAGATCACACTAGAATGCCTATCAGTAAACTGCAGAAGTAGAAATGGCCCCTTTTAAAGCTGTGGAGCAGAGAAAAAGCTCCTTGTGAAATTCTTCTGAAATGAACACTTGTCTATTCAGAAGAAACTTACCTGCATTTGTCCCTTTTATCTACGCACCCCTCCCCCTGCTTTATTTTTTAAGTCACCCAGACCTTGTCTTCCCAGTAATGTCATAATCAGCAGGCTGAAAGCAAGGTTGCTGATAATTGTTCTTTATGTTGCTCTTTGTTTAGTATCTGATTCAATACATCTGTGGGGACACCATTTCATCACCTTCTTAGTAACAGAGGTGAAAAAAATCAATGGCAATCAGATTACCTTGTTAACAGAAAGGCTAAAGGGCCAGTGTGTTAAGTTCACAGTGCATCACCTTTCATTTAAAACATTTCACTTTTTTTATTATTTATCTTTATTATTATTTATAGCACCAAGCCCAAAGTGTTTCCTAACACAGAGTGTGGCCTTGCATTTGTCTTCCGCAGAGCCAAGCACTTCTGCCACATCACAGACTAGGTCGGGGACCCCTCCTGCAGAGAGCCCACTGCTGCCATTTCTCACAAAGTGCTTTGGACCAGTCCCGAAGGACTCCGGTTGCAAGGCTGATTTTGTGATCTGAGTTGTCATATGATATTGTATCTATTGTCGTGTTTGTTATTTTCTGTAGGTCCTTATTAAGATCACTGTTATTATCCACCAGAGCAATGTTCCGGGGGCTATGTAAGGGGTATTATAATGTGCGCAAAGAACAAAAACTCAACGGGGAACTTCCAGATGAAAGACTTGATATGGGACAGCACAGGCCAAAACAATAGGGACGGATGCACGGTAGTCGTACACAAAGGGTTAGGTGATTACTGTAAGAGGAAGCGCTTTGAAGAACAGGTGGGCATGGAGGAGGTTTTTGAAAGTGGAGAAGGATGTGTTATTGCAAACATGTTATTGTTTGAGTTTAATGGAGGATTCAACAACATTTTTAAAAAATCAAAGCGACTATTGGACCTAAAACTCTGAGACTCACTGAAAGACATAAAAGGCATATAGGCAAGAGGATAGTTTTATCGCAGTTGATTTAAAGACCAAATGTTATGGGAGTGACCACTCCTTACCCTTCGTTATAATGCAAATGGCCAAATGTCAGCTACTTTTGCTTAATTAGGAGACTTGCAAATGTCCGCTTGGGTTTCTTGAACTTGAGCTTGGGTCTCTGCATCCTTGGGATACTCAGGGACCCTCTGAAACCTCTGGGAGCATGAACTTACCCCGAGTTTCAGGAGGTGAGGCCCCCAAGTGAACTGAGGTAAGATGGTCTTCAAGGTTGGTATGGATAGGAAGCTGATTCCACTCGAGAACTGGGTTTTTTTTGAAACACAAATCAAAGTCAGGTCATCACCTGTGGTCATGCTAAATGTTCAGATTTTGGACTGAATTCTGCAGGTCATGCCTCCTGTAGCCCCAGGTTGGCTGTAAGATTGACAGGCAGGCAGAAGTATTGGTTGCTTTCAGAGATCCATGAGATTTAGAAACTGGATTCAGCTGACTCATCATAATACTCTCAACAAAGTTTGCACGAGAATCCCCACTTACAGATGGGAAGGGGAAGCTGGGCTCATGTAAATTTTAAGTAGTGGAATATGGGTTTGAACTCCGGCTCATTTGACTTTGAGGCTCTTTGTACTACCCCATTGTTGGTTCTTAGAGTATGATCCCTGGTCTGATAGGCTCAGCATCCTCTGGGAGCTTGTTAGAAATGCACATTCTTACATAGGAGGCTTTGCAGAAATATGAACAAATGATTAGCCTCATCTTTTCAGGCTATGCTCTGCCCAATAGACTTTTGAGGTCACCACAGATCTACTGAACCAGAATCTCTGGGCAGGGAGTCCAACAATCTGTGTTTTAGTAAGACTTCCAGCTGTTTCTGATGCACACTAAAGTCTGAGAACCACACACTCCATCCAACCAGCTCTGCAGAACTTACAGTCTTCAGAATCATTCTGGGATCCTGGTATATAAACTAGGAGAACAGGACACAGTGTAGGACCTGGCAAGATCTCCACACACAAATGCTATCCATGTCTTTAGTGCCACTAGGTCAAGTGCAGAACAATTTGAATTCCTTAGGAGAAGACACTTTGATATTATGGGATTAGGCATAGTTCTTCATTATCAGCTGAAACATAATAAAATCATATGCAGATTAGATTAACTAAGAGAGACAATCTAAGACAGGCAACCAATGGTGTTTATCTCAGAGCAGTAAAAGCTATTGTTTCCTCAAGATAGCTATTGCTCTGCCCTGTATTTTCAAATTTATAAGGTGACTTTTATACACTAAATTCTAAATCCTCGTCGGAATTTTTAATCAGTTTATCTTTTATTTTAAATATAAGTCATGCAATTAGTGGTCAGGGCTCCTCAAAAGTGTCAGAGATTAAAAAGAGATGTCATACCTAAATGAAATAAGTGATCTTAGATTGGATACATCCAAGGAAGGACGTGAAAACCCATTGCACTTTTATTAGTGCTCCAATTGTCCCATCTTTGACCTCTTCAGGCTAGATCTTTGAGTGTTTTTGATATAATTTCACTGGTCTTTGATAATTCCCTGGCTTCCTGCTAAACCAACATTGTTTTGTTTTTTGCATATACGATTATTTTCTTTTCTTCTCTCTCTTTGCTGCTTATTGTATTTTAGCTTTGATAATGGTTTTCATTTCAATGTTTCTGGG